AAAACTGGAAGTGGTGCTGTGGCTCAAGTGGTAGAGCGCTCGCCTTGAGCTGAAGAGCTCAGGGACAGCACCCAGGCCCAGAGTTCAAGCCCCACAAAAGAAAAAAGGGGGGGTTCTTGAAGTGTAACTCAAGTGACCTAGCACCCAGCAGCACCACAAACTAAAGTCACTGTGCTCCCAACGGGCGCAAGATCTTGGGACGGCTGGACACTCTTTAGAATGATGTGTGTGCGTGTGTGTCTGTCTGTCTGTCTGCTGTGCCCCAGGACTTTTCCCAATCACAAAGCCCAGGGAACTTTGCTCCTCTGGCTTTACCTCCGTAGCCTCTCCAGCATCGATCTGTTTGGCTAGAGGGCCCCTGCTGGTCTCTCTGCCGAGGGCTCCCCCCAGATCTCCCTCAGATCTCCCCTCCCCCCTCTCCAGACTCCCCCTGTGGTGGCTGCTACCATTTTGGCCTTGAAGAGGGGTGACATGCGCAGGTAGCTGGGCTGGCGCTGGCGGAGGAGGAGGAGGAGGTGGGCGGGGCCGAGGACCCAGAGGTACAGGGGCGGCGCCCAGACCCCCAGCGCTCTCAGCAGGCATGCGCTCAGCAGGCGGTGGGCGGTGGGCGCCGGCTCCGTCTGGTTCCAGACCTGAATTGAATACAGGGCACCCCTTGGAACGGCACACACAGAGACTGGCACCTATGGGAGGGCACCCAGTGGGTGGCACACAGGATAATGGTGGCACACACCGGGTAGCATACACAGGATGGTCCATGCCAGGCTCCCAGTGTTTATGGAAAAGTGTCCCAAGCCCTCCCTGGAGTACTTAATTCTCAGGACTTTTCATACACACACACACACACACACACACACACACACACACACACACGTGCGCGTGCCGGATCCCATCTTTCTGCTGGGTTCATCCAAGCAGGAGAGCAGGGAGGTGGCGGGGTGGGATTGCGCCCCAGCGGGGTGCTGGGCGCGGTTGGGTGGACGCCACGATGCCCTCCACATGCAGCAGGCAGGGCGCAAAGGGCCTGCTGGGTTTAGGGGGCACACAGAGCTGGGAAATGAGCGGCACATTGGGGGCCCCCCCCGCGCCCACCTGGTGAGCTCCACCACTCCCAGGGTGCTGTGCTGAGGGGGGGGACCAGAAGGGGGTCTCCAGGCGTGGGGAGGCCGGGCGGGGGGTCCCCTAGCCTAGCAAATGAGGCCCCCTGGGGCTATGGCGTTGGACACAAAGACTTGGGGTGTCCCACACCCCCGTATCTCAGCCGGGGAAAGGAGGGACACTCACCCCCAGCTCAGTGCAGGGCTCCCCTGACGGGACCATTGTTGATCCGACAGGCGTCTGTCCCTCTGTCTGTCTGTCTGTCTGTCTGTCTGTCCCCCTGTCCCTCACGAGCAGCCTCTCCTCCCCGGGGGTGGGGCCGGCAGGTTCAACCCAGGCTGGAGCTGGCCCGGGGCAAAGTCCAGAACTCGGAGGGGTGAAGCCAGGTGAGTCCAGGGACCTGGGGGGGGGGAGGGGAGGAGGAGGTGACTCTGGGGTCCCCGAGGCTGCAGTGACCCCCAGGCTCCTTTCTGCCGAAAGTCACAGTGAGTGCACCGAACCTTCCAGAAAATGCAAGGTGTGGATGCCCAGGAAGGAAAGAGATGCTCAGAGGGAGCTCACCCCACCCAGGCCTCCTGGCCTTGAGACCAGGGGCCAGCAGCAAAAGTGCATGGCAGCCAGGCGCCCAAAGGCACCTCACGCCTGTAATCCCAGCTACTCAGGAGGCTGAGATCTGAGGATCACGGTTGGAAGCACAACCTTGAGACTCTTCTCTCCCACGAACCACCCAAAAGCCAGAAGTGGAGCTGTGGCTCAAGTGGTAGAGCACTAGGCTGGAGCATAAAAGCTCAGGGACAGCACCCAGCCTCTGGGCTTAAAGCCCCAGTATGGACACACACACACACACACACACACACACACACACACACACACACATACATATTGTAGAAATCTGTTCCTACGGGAAGATGGCTTCTAAGTACCATGAAAGAAAAGATTGTAGTATAGAACAGGATGTATTATCTAAAAGAAAAAAAAATAATGTGCCTAGGACTTGGGGGCTGTGGCTCAAATGTAGCGCTCCACCTAGCCAGCCAGGAGCTAGGAGGGGGGTGTCATGCCTAAACAAAAGCTGTCTTGCTTCTGGGGGTGTCTCATTCTCGTCCTCCGCCCTCCCCTCCTGCAGCTCCTCCAGGGAGGGGCTTCCCCCAGCTGTGTTCACCCCTCTTTCTTCTTCTTTTTTCTTTTGGAAAGTTCTGGGGATTGAACTCAAGACCTCAGCCCATGGCTGGTACTCTACCATTTGGGCCACGTCTCCAGTCCAGCAACCTGCAGGTGAATTGGGAGACTCTCTCCAATTCACCCGCAGACTTTCCTTTCTCCAGCTAGCTTTGAAATCTCGATGCTTCAGGTCTCAGCCTCCCGAGTTGCCAGGATTCCGGGCCACGTGTGAGCCGCCGGGCCCAATCTCCCCTTTCTGAGTCTCCCCGTTTCTGCTGTGGGATGGGATCTGGGCAGTGCCTTTTCATTGTCCTGCCAAGTGTTTGGGAAAAGCTGGGTCCAAAAGTACCCAGGATTCTTTTCTTTGCAACTGGGACTTGAACTCATTGTCTGACGATTTTGCTCACTGGGTGGAGCTCAACCGCCTAAGCCACCCCCTCCCTCAAAGGAATCATGAATGGGTCAGGTTTACCATTAACACTGGCCACTGGTACAGACTGAAAGACATTGTGGAGAAGCCAGAGCCCCCTCTCCTAGTCATCTGACACCCCCCCCCAGCCTTGTCACACCCCTGATGCTTCCTTTATTGATCTATTTGAAGATGGAGTTGAGGGAACAGCCAAAAAGTCAGGAGAACATGGCAGCCACCATCAGCTGGGCTGAAGAGCCCCAACTCCTCTCTTCCAGCAGTCAGAGCTGGAAAACCGTAGGCCTCAGCCTAGCCTCTGCGAGATGGGAAGGTTGGGATGGACTCTGCAAATTGTCTTCTTTAAGTCTACACTGTAATGATTTTCTACGACAAACTCCTGCTTCACGTGAAGGAGGGTAGGCAGATGGCGAGCACCATGGTGCACAGCTGTTAATCTTGGCCATTTAGGGAGTAGAGACCAAGCCGCTCATGTCTTGAGATCAGCAGGGGTAGAATGAAAACTGGATGTGGGCGGAGCATGCCTGTTACGCCTGCTACAGGAAAGTGTAACATAAATGTGACATTGTATCAGAAAAGTATCTAGGGGTAGAGAGATGGAGGGGGGAGGGACCCAAGTGGTAGAGCCCCTGCCTTAGTCATTGCAAGGCCCTGAGTTCAAACCCCAGGACCATCAAAAATAAAATCCAAGCATCTGCCTTCAGTTGTGGTTACAAGTAATAACCCACTCCCCAAACCATTTAAATAGTTTCTCTGAATAACAGAGTAGTTGAGTTTCAACTATATTAAATAGAAGTCTATCTAGACACTCATCCTACATTCTATTAGATAAATGTGCATTCTATTTAATGTAAGTATATTCCAGGAAGAATGTAGAGGAACAAGCAAATCAGATGCACTCATGATTGGAACCCTTGTAGCAGAAGGCAGAGGCTCTGAACATGAAGAGAAGGTTTGGACCCGGCGCTAGTGGCTCATGCCTGCAATTCTAGCTACTCAGGAGACGGAGATCTGAGGATGTCTGTTTGAAGCTAGACCGGGCAGGGAAAAAGGTGGGACCCTTTATCTCCTATTGAACACCCAAAACAAGGAAGTAGAACTGTGGCTCAAGTGGTAGAGCACCAGCTTTGTGCGAAAAAGCTCAGGGACCCAGGCCCTGAGTTCAAGTCCCACAATCAACAACAACAACAAAAGGTTTGGGTAACTGATGGTTCTTAGCTGTATGCTTTAATCCTGATGGCAGAGTGTAGTGGAAAAATCTTTCTCACTTCATCATTTGGAAACAATATATATATAAAAAGTATCAAAACAAAGCACTTGGTTTTATTTTTAAGGAGCAAAAAGAAAGAAGGGCATGGATCGTTTCAGGAAAGGACAGACGTGAGCTACCAGCGCCTAAAACACAATTCAGCTTCGGGAGTTACGTGCACACCTGTCAGCAGGTGCATGGAGTCCTCCGTGTCCCGAGGGGGCGCCCGCGGGACTTTTGGCTTTTTGTAGAGCATGCGCGGTGGCGCTCTTTGGTGAAGGGGCGTGGTTGTCGCGGCGCGCCTGCGCGCTGCGGGCAGGTGGGCGGGGTCTGGGCTGTCACCCGGCGCCCGTGGAGGAAGGAGCCGGGCAGCGTGCGGTGTGAGG